CAAGGATGGCACTGGTGTGAGCGACTCGGTTGTCAACCAGTTGTTGAGTAAGATTGATGGGGTTGACTCACTTAACAACATTTTGCTCATTGGAATGACAAATCGAAAGGACATGATCGATGATGCCTTGCTGCGACCGGGCCGCTTGGAGGTTCATGTCGAGATTGGTTTGCCTGACGAGAATGGCCGCTTGCAGATTTTGAACATTCATACTAAGAATATGAAGGATGCCAATCGCATCACCCCAGAATGCACGGAACGCTTGCCTGAGATTGCTGAACAGACCAAGAACTTTTCTGGAGCCGAAATTGAAGGTCTCGTCAAGGCTGCCAGCTCGTACGCGCTGACCCGCTGCGTCGACGTGAAGGATCTGAAGAAGGCGCCCGACGCCAAGAACTTGATTCTCCAGTACGGTGATTTGGAGCGTGCTTTAGGAGATATTGAACCAAAGTTTGGCGCCAAGACACCAGAGCTCAAGGCACACTATCGTAATGGCTTTGTTCCATATGGTGATTCGTTTGACTACCTCATGCAGATGCTTGAGCGCCTTGTCGAGCAAGTGCGCGCATCGGATCGTACTCCACTCATGTCAGTATTGCTACAGGGATCTCCTTCTAGTGGCAAGACGGCAATTGCTGCTAAAATCGCTGTCGATTCTGGTTACCCATTTGTCCGAATGATTTCTGCCGACGAAATGATTGGATACTCCGAAACGAGCAAGAGTCAAATGATTCACAAGGCTTTCATGGATTCGTACAAATCACCCCTCTCGCTCATCTTCTTGGATGATATTGAACGGCTAATCGATTACGTAGCAATTGGGCCTCGCTTTAGCAACACGGTTTTACAAACGTTGCTTATCTTATTGAAGAAGGCGCCGCCGGATGATGGACGTCGCTTGCTGATCATTGGTACAACGTCGTGCCCGCACTTGTTAGACGATCTTGGCCTGGTATCGGCCTTTGGCGTGACTACGGCGGTTCCGTTGTTGGACGAGCCGGCTCAGATTGTCGAAGTCTTGCGTGTAGCCGCGCACATGAACGAAAAGGATGCAAGAAGTATTGCTAAGGCCATTACGAAACCGATTGGGATTAAGCAGCTGCTCATGGTTGCAGAAATGGCCAAGCAGGGAACTGGGTCGTCTAAGGGCAGGGTTGATGCGAATATATTCATGGAATGCCTTCATACTGTTGGATATTAGAGAATAAGACGGAAGACTGCGTTAATATATTATACAGTATGACCTGAACACGAAACACCGGGCTAGAGACTGCCTGTATCATACACAGAAACTGAATTAACAATGCGTTACAATAAGTACACCACTTTAGTGCGAAAATTGACGCTTATCAGATGTTTCTCGTCGTCCATACGGATTGTCGGCCGAGAAGGAGCCTTGGCCCTTCTTCCTGTTGACATCCTTTTTTCGCTTCTCCTTTCCAAACGCCATGTCCACACGCGGTGGCGTTGTGAACCCAAATGCCTTGCCAACAGCTTGTAGATCGAGCTGATGAACGTTAAAAATATCACGCTGCGAGTGGCTCGCATACGCCAAAAGGTAGCTTCGATACGCATCCCGAGCAGACCGATTCAGGTAGTAATTCGTTTCAATGAGCCGCTCGAGCTGCGACTGCACATTGGCCACCTTGTTGGTGGGAAATTCGTATTCATTCAGCGTCACCTTGGCCGCCTTGAGATATCTCAAAAAGCCAGTTTCTTCTGGTGTCAGGAGAAGCAAAGCCCGGCCCGAGCCCGTGGCGCCGCGAGCTGTTCGACCGACACGGTGACTAGAGATGAGGTGTAGATTGGAAAAAGGAACGTGAGCCAAAGGTATGCATGCATATATGTATTGAAAATCCTCTCTTTTACATACATGTACTCCTTTGGATCATCAGGCGGATCAAACTGTATAATCCAATCCACCTTTGGAATATCCAAACCTCGTGCCGCCACATCGGTACAAAGCAAGGTGCCACTATCGCTCTTGCAGAATTGGAAGAAGGTCGTCGTCCGCTTGACTTGCTTTTGTCGGCCGTGAATATCAAGGACCGGTACGTCAATATAGTTAAGTAGCTCAGCGTGAAATTTGACACTGTTGCAGCTACTAAAAAAGACCATGATCTTCTTCTTGCGATTCTTCTTCAGAAACGTGAAAAGCAAGAGGAAGCGCTTGTCAGATGCCACCGTCACGAACCCTTGTTCCAGTCCAGCTGCTGTTGCCAGATTCGATTCATTCTCCACCTCGACAAAGATTGAATTCTTGGGATTGACAGACAGTCTAACTAGATCCTGCACCTTTTTTGTTTGTGTTGCACTAAACAACATGGTTTGTCGTTCCTTGGGCAGCAGCTTTAGGATTGACCTCAAATCGTCCTCGAAACCTTGCTCCAGAATGCGATCAGCTTCATCCATGCATAGTGTCAGCAAGTTGCGAACGTTAAAGCCCTTCGAGTTTTGCAAGTGATCCAACAGTCGACCCGGCGTGGCAACGATGCAATTGACTCCCTTGCTCAGCTTGTCAGCCTCCGTCTTGCGATTAGCGCCTCCCATAATGAGACCAAAAGTTTGAGTATGATGACCAACATCAGTTTTGTTATTGGTACTGAGCATGCATTCCTGCAAGACGCCGTAAATTTGCATGGCCAATTCCCTCGTTGGACTTAGAATGATTGCACCCGTTCCATTCTTTGGCGTAAATTTGGCCTTGTAAAGCAATTCAATAATGGGAATGACGAACGCAAGAGTCTTGCCGCTTCCCGTCTTGGCAGCGCCAATCAAGTCCTTGCCGGAAAGGAGGGGAGGAATTGCCTTGGCTTGAATCTGCGTCATGCGGACCATTTTCATGCCGTCGAGGGCAGCAAGCGTCTTTTCTGACAGCGGAAGACTACTGAAAACGTCGTTGGGGTCTTGGGAGTAAAAGTTGGGTTTGTCAATGACGAGTTCGTCTTCGACTTTGTCGTCTTGCGTTGTTTTGGTGCGTTTACTTGACGCGTCGTCGGCGGTCATGATTTCTTCATTAGCATCGTCCTTCGAACGTTTCTTCTTCGAGAATATTTCCACAGGCTCCTCCTCATGCTGAACATCAGCAATTTCTTCTTCTTCCGGCTTTGCCTTTGGTGACTTGGTCTTGTCCTTCTTACCCATGCTAGTATACTTGTCAATGTCAATAGAACGGCAAATGTTGAACGAGAAATGCAAAATTGCGAACAACGAAGGGCGCTCGCAAAAGGTCATGAGCTGTAACGCTGCGACATGGACAGCTCACCACGAGAGCGAACCGCGCCGCCTCCACACGCGCAGATCATTCTCCTTCCGCAATGTTCCAAACCTTAATAGTTTTTATAAATATATAGGAGAGTAACATGTCGAATCAGTTTCGCGAAGCCTTCCAGCGCATGGCCAAACAGGCGCAAAAGGCCGGTGGAAGCGCCGGTGGCGGGGGTGCCGGAGGTCCCAACAAGGCGGCCGCCGCCGCGGCGCGGTCCGTCTTTGCACTGGGCGGCGCGGCCGCCTTGGGCTATGGCGCCTACAATAGCGTCTACACGGTGCAGGGAGGTCATCGTGCCGTTGTGTTCAATCGCTTCGTTGGTATGAAGGAGAGTGTCTACGGTGAAGGTTTGAACTTTAACATTCCATGGGTGGAGCGCCCGATTGTGTACGACATTCGCACCCGACCGGTGAATCTGCAAACTCTGACGGGAAGCAAGGATTTGCAAATGGTAACGCTCGCGATTCGTGTCTTGCACAAACCCAATGTGAATAACTTGGTCTGGATTTATCAGTTTTTGGGATTGAACTATGACGAACGTGTCTTGCCAAGCATTATGAACGAGTGTGCCAAAGCAGTCGTTGCTCGATACAATGCGAGCGAGCTCTTGACCAAGCGTGAGCAAGTCAGCAAGGAGATTAGCATGGAACTTACCAAGCGGGCGCACAATTTCAATATCATTTTGGAGGATGTCGCCATTACGCACTTGGCATTTTCGCCGGAGTATGCTCGCGCTGTGGAGGCTAAGCAAGTGGCACAGCAAGATGCGAGCCGAGCCAAGTACATTGTATTGGGAGCGCAGCAGGAGAAACTTACGATTATTACCAAGGCGCGCGGAGAAGCCGAGTCTGCGTCGCTGATTGGTAACGCCGTCCGCAAGAATCCTGGATTCTTGAAGCTGCGTCGGATTGATGCGGCGCGCGACATTGCGGATATTGTCGCTGGATCTGGCAACAAGGTGTACTTGAACGCCGATACTTTGTTGCTGAACTTGCTCGGAGAAGCGGATGATAAGTTTGAAAAGGGTATTGGATCCAGAGGTAGTGGAAGCCGATACTTTTAAATGCTTGTATATGCGATGGTTGATGCAGACTGTACGAGACGAGTTGTACGATGGTTTGGCCTGAAAGAAACAAGGCAAAAGCATTCTATAGGTATTAGAATTGAGTAACTTCACGAGCAAAAGCTAGTACACTCCGATTAGGTTGTAAACCGTTGCAGGTCTGGACCTTTCGAGCTCAGATGGCTGCAGACCCCTTTGCTTCAAAGCCATCGACACGTCGACATGTTGCTTGACAAATCATATCTCTGCTGGCTGAATCTTATTCTTAACACTCCAGCTGCTACTACTACGATAGGTTGGGTTTCTTCATGGGTACCTGTATGAGCCAGTTTGCCAAGTGATTCGAAATGCAGGCCCAATCCCCTGCGTGACAATTGGTGCCCAGTCAGAGGGCTTCTGACACAGAATGGAACACTAAACTTATAGATTTTGTTGAAATTGTAGCGTGTAATTGCGTACAGTAATTGCATGAGCATAGAGCATAACCTTCTTGTAGTTTGCAAGCCGCCGCATAGCTAAACCTCTCTCTGTCGAAAGCGGCAAGCAAACGATCACACGACTCTTGTACAACTACGTGGACGCGACGCTCGCTTTGGCCCATAACTTACCAAACGGTTCGCAGATATGAAAGGATTGCGCGTACAGTACTTTTATATCAGATCACTTTGTCGTGCAAAAGGCTGAATCGAACAGCTAGGCCGTCAAGCCTCAACGGAACTGAAGTCCGTCCCCACCACCAGGCAGGTTCATTTGCACAAAAAAAGGTGACAAACCCCAGAGAGAGGAAGCAGGAGTAATCCGCGTTGTGTTAAAAGGCATAACTTTGCTACAATGGCAGCGCCCTAGCTCAATGGCTCGTGTCATCACCGTAATCGGCTCTGGACGCTGGAACGCCTTGCGGCGCCGGTTTCTCAACCCTTGCATTCGCGGAATTTCCCCAAGAAGCTAAATGTCCTCGGCCTCGAGAGGCGGGACGCTCCTCGTACGCCATGGTGAAAGTGTTCTCTGTCCTCCCTCCAAGATTTGTGGGAGCGAGTTGCGGTTTCATCAGAAACGGATGGTTCTCCGACCGAGTCTCACCAGTTCTCACTGCGACACGAGCTGACTTTTCCGATGAGTCATCATCGGTTCGTCGAGCCGCTATGAATATGTTGCCCATCTATCAATGCTGTCCCTGTTGATAGCATCATGATACGTAAAGGAGAGTGCGTAAAGACATTCGAGTACTTAAGAATCTTTCCATTGTTCATTGAGAATGACGATGCATCATGGCGCAACTTGCCTCAATGGGAAACCGTGTCGGAACAAATGCCAGCAACTTCTTGCCGGCCATTGACAAAATTTCAAGCCATGCTTGGCCAAGAGCTTGCCAAATCAAGTCCAGACTTTGTGCTGGTTGCTTATTTGCAGATCTGCATGGAAAATGATACAAATCTTCTGCCAGAGTTGTTAAAGTCTGTCGACAATGATAAGCAATCGACACCTAATCGACTTGATCTCGAAAGGGACGAATCGCTGCACAGTCTCAATCGAACAAGTCGCCACTGGAAGCAATGTCGTATCCGCGATCAAATGACGATATACCAATGGACCCGCCTGTATCTATGGATCTCTGGACGAATCCATGTCATTTCCGTCGACCATCCAATGCATCTTTACGCCTCACAATGCCTACCTCGGCTTGATGCGAATGAACGCCAGCAAGTTATCAAGCAACTAGATTTGACTCCTACGACATCAATGCTCGGAATCATGAAGCAAATTCAAGACCGACATCCGCCCGTTCGTTTGTTTGCTGTCCTACTGGATAAACCATGTTTCCTTCGACACTCGTGCATTGCAAATGCGACGTTGGAATGGCAAATAAATCAGATTGACGCAAACAAGGCAGGCACGATTTCCTTGACAGCCTTGTATGACATTGAGTTTCTCAACGATTTAACAATCAACTACATTGCCAATAAAATGGATCATGACGAGGTCAATGATTACGAAGATCGCCTGCGAGCATTGGAGGCGCGAACAGGATCGTCCTGCGACTGCCCCAAGTGTCGGTACCAAATGATGAATGAATTTGCCACCTTGGACTTGGCGGATCGACTCGCACTGGCGCGCTACTACTTGACGAATGGCTCGCTTCAAGTCGCCAAGGAGCTGTATCAAAATGTGCTTGAAATTGAACCAGATTATATGGATGCGTGGCATGCGCTGGGTGCCATTGAGTTGAGTCAAAAGAATTTCCTAGAGGCACAGCGAACGTGGGCGCAGGCTATAGAAAGATATCCGAAGCAGTGCTCACAGCATTCTGGTATGGCTCTGCAGGCCGACAAGCTGCGAGCCTATTGCTATCTGGACGATTGCAACTCGTCGTCGCGGTTTGCGGTAACGAATGCCGGTGCAAACAAATCACCAACAATATCAACATCTTTTCAAATGTTGCTGCCCGGCGTATATGTCAGTCGCATGCTCGACAAGAGCATATGCCAGCAAATTTTGGCATGGTCTCAATGTAACGGCACCATGTGGACGCAGAACCGACATTATGCAGTTCCAACATACGATATACCCGTCCACACTGTTCCTCTCTTGTTGAAGTGGTTTCAAACTTGGTTTATTCACGATATGCGTTCGTTGCTGGCTCGTCAGTTTGGTACTTCCGTGAATTACTTTGTCCACGATGCCTTTGTGGTCAAGTATGAAGCTTCGTCAACATCCAACTATCTGCCACTCCATATGGACGAGTCAACTCACTCCTTGGTGGTGGCACTCAATGATCCCAACGAGTATATTGGGGGAGGCACCTACTTTGCGGAGACTGATACGACGCAGCGAGCGGCCTTGGGCGAGGTGCTAAGCTTTCGCGGCGACCAAGTGCTGCACGGCGGTGAAGCTGTAATAAAAGGAACAAGGTACATACTGGCCGTCTTTTTGTATCATGACGATGATGGAAACGAGCTACTAGTCAACGCTAATAGCTCCGCTAAACCTACGGGTGGCTCAATGAAAAGAGAGCGGAACGAGACGAGAATTGGAAATGTCATTCGAGAGTCCAAGGCGCAGAAGGTTGACTTTAGTTTTGGCTTTACGCCAGAATAAAGGATAATGCGCTACTTGTATAGTATATTTTCCAATGCACTCCAAGTAAAGATAAAATAGATCAAATACATACTACTAGATGATGACTACGACTTACTCTGGAATGGAACGATGAAAGTGAACATTCTTCCACTGTCCGTCAATGCACTGCCAAACTCTCGTCTCCTCGGCGTAGCTAGTCGTCGCAGCCTTGGACGAAGGATCAATCTTTTGCGTCAAGCGCACGTAGGAAACAACTCCAGCGTCGCTGCCAAGCATGCGAACGTGTGGTCGAACCATGGTAGTGTTGCGTGAGCTGCGATCAGCCGCAAACTGAAAGTAGTACTCATGAAAAGCAATCCCCTCGACAAGGTAACCTTCCGCTTCCGGTTCAAAGCAAGTGATGGAGTCATCGACGAGCGTCTTGTACTTGTGAAGATCCTTGGCTTCAATGGCTAGCAGGAGCTCGTGAGTGAGGGCAATGAGGTCGGGAGTGGGCATGGTGCTTGTCCGTTCAGGAAGATCTACAGATATACGCTTTTCTTGCTTTCAATTGCGAGCTGCCCTGCAGGGGTGGTTGAATTTTAATGGATATATTGCTCTTCAAATTATTTGCAAAAGATCGTCAAGCCATCGCCTAACAGAAACAGTGCGACATTATGACTTTTTGTGTGACAACGTGACGACGACGCGCGCCTCGTCGCTCACTGCGTCGTATACTACGCTGTAATACTTTTGGTCCCTCCAGCCTTATGCAACCACAATGGTGAGCACCCGACAATCATTGACATCCCAAAGACAGCAACGGCATGACCGATGCAAGTGCCGATACCTCGTGGTGTTTGTGACAGCTGTAGTGCTCATCGTCTACTCGGCGACAATGTGGGCGTTCGTCTCGGTCCGTGGCGAATCCAGGGAGATGGATAACATCATACTGCAGGTGCCACAAAACGAGTTGCCTCGAAAGCCATTGAATCGTCAGCAGCAGGTAGAAAAGCCATCGGTTGCTACTAAAAGGACGAGCAGTAAATTGGAGAAGCGACAGGGAGCAAGAGGAAGCACATCGAAGCAAGCGCCAGCTGAATCGAAAGACGACGAGCCTTTATCACAACAATCTAAGCCAGATCCTAATACATCGAAAGAGGAGCAGCGTCTGACGTCAAGAGTAAAGCCTGAGCGATTACCTGTACGCTTCATGAATCGGACGAATATCATTCAAAGGGTAGCAAATGACGTAACTCTACCAATCGAGATAAATGAACCAGAAGCAAACGTCCTTCCTGTTACAGACACAGGAGTTCAGCTAAATGACGCACAAAATACGTCGCTGCCATTCAAAGTCACAATCGCACACAAGATGCGTAACGATTTGATGGGTTCCTTCGTCGCCCCCACCGTGTATCTTCTGGCTGTTGCTCGACACTACAACTACAACCTTGTCATTCTTCCCTTTCTAGGAAGCATTCACGAAAAGTACTTGAAGATGCTTATCGGACTTGGAGATAAGATAGACACATCATGGGGAACAGGCTTTCAGGATGCTAGTCATCGCAAGGACTACGATCCTGTCGAGTTGAACGCCCGCATTCACGAGACCATGGGATTCTTTCCGCCCATTTCCAATTCATCGGTTCGCCAATACCCATGGATCAAGTTGACCAACATTCCAACACCGCAAAACATGACTCGGGCGTGTGGGCCGAACGCAACGAAATCCGGTCATTGCTACATCAAGCTGCCCGACAATCCACATTATATTCAAGAATATATGATGCACAATGAAGGGTGCGACGCCTATTTCCCACCCGAGTTTCGAAAATATATGCGAGACTCGTTTCTCAGAGACAAGCCTGGTCCAAGTTTCTTTGCCAAGGACGCCTACAATATTGCCATGCATGTACGACGAGGCGACATACTTGATCCTGCTCGCTGGATACACCAGCCAGTTTATGCAGCCCTTGCTCGACGAATATGTAAGGAGCACGCGAATGCAATGGTGCACGTCTTTTCGTCTGGTCCCAACCGGGACGGAAACTGGAGCGTTTTGGAAGAAGTCTCGGACGTTTGCACCAATGTGTCCTTCCACCTGAATGACCACGAAATTGATGCGTGGGTGCACATGGTGTCAGCCGATGCACTCATCATGTCCAAGAGCAGCTTTAGCGCCATTCCTGCCTTGATTTGTCAGGGCGACGTATACTTTCCTCGCGATTATTGGCACATACGATTATCATCATTTCGCGTCTTTGACACAAATACTGGAGACCTGGTGGCGTCGCAGCTGAAACAGCATCATGGTGGACAGTGAGCAAGTCAATCCAACCCAATGTTTGCGCTATGTCTGTGGAAGCTATATAAATATGTATAATATGTTCAAAAGCCAAAGTATAGTGTGGAAGCTATATAAATATGTATATAATATGTTCAAAAGCCAAAATATAGTGGCGCTGCAACTCAAATTCTGCCCCAAACTATGGAATCATACCACTACAATGCCCTGTGCCCTGGCCACCCAACAACCCAATGAGTCAGGCAAAACATGTCCAGGGTGTGCCATTGACATGAGGATGGTCTGAAATGGTGCAAAACGGACTGCCTGGAGGCCTACACCATGGAATGGTCTGCAGGCTGGGTGTGGCCAACACCCCAAATTATGGAATCATACCACTACAATGCCCCGT